TTCTCTCCCTCGCCGTCTCCACCCCGGATGCCTTGGGCTCGGCGTCACCTGGAGAGATATGTCATCTATTATCTGACATTCCAGTCGCCACCGGACGGCCCACCTCTGCTCCGCTCGCGGCTCAGTTCCCAGAGCTACCCTCCTTCTCTGGAACATCTCGGTGCCAACGGTCGACGCTGCCGTTCAGGGACCCGAAGCTCTCGCCGCCCACACTTTCCACTGCAGTGGGCTTCACGGCTGGTTTATTTTTGATCAATACCGCCGCCCCGTTAGTCACTTCATTTCCATCATCGACACTGCATCGGATTTCTGTCCCCGCCTCAAACTCAGTGAATCGAATTTTATTCCAGCACGACACTTTTAGAGCATTTAGCATGCTTATTAAACTCCTCCCACTTCTTCGTTGTGTCCGTGTTGAAGAATCGAGTTAGCTGCTTTTTTTTTTTTAACGTGGGTTTAGATTGCTAGCCTACTTTGGCACCTGGCAACATAGTGAAACTAATAACATTTAAAGCATTTTTTCCCTCCTCGTTTCTTTAATCAAAGTGCTGCCTTTCGTTTGAGTCTAATTCAAACCCCTTTGGGTGTCAGCCCTGGCTTTGCTTAAAAAAAATAAAACCCTGACGTAGCTCCCTCGGGTACACGGATCCACGTGTAGCCCGCCGGTCTCGGCGCTCCGCCTCCATATGGCTGAGGACGGACATGCGATGCTTTGCGGGGACGCTGTGGTTCAGACTCAGGAATGCACACACGTGTCAGAGCAGCTGAAGAGGGAGCATCGCCCAAAGCAGGCCGGCTGGCTGTGCAGTATTACACGCACATACCTGGATGCTCTGAGAGTGTAGCCTCGCACATGACGTTTGAACACGAAGGAAGGGATGTGGGTCGCTCTGGCCTCTTCTTCTCTTGTTTACAGTCCACATGCATCCACCCGCCGACCACAAACACACGCTTCCACGGCTGGTGGCTATATGCTACGTCCAATCTCACCTTCGCCTCCTGACCTTTCACCTCGTTGCCTTCCAGAGGAATGCTGCTCTACTAAAGGAATGCAGCAGCAGGAGGGCACACTGGGAGCCGGTGTATAGGCACTTGAATCAGCTCCCACCCATCCACACACACTCACTCACACACAATGCGCCACGCTGTGCACATTTATTCAATTGATTTTCTTAGCTGCAATAGCTTTCAATTGGAGTCACTCCGGTCCACTTCCATGGCCAAGCGCTGATGAAAGGGCCCCATTCACTGCTACACTATCCAGTGAGTTTTCAGCACCGCTGACAATGATCCCAGGAGCGGACAGTGAAAGGCTGTTACAGGCCCGACAATTGAACAAATTTCACGTTGAGCGCCACGGTATGCCTTGTGGTGACTAAACCTCCTTTCCTGGCGCACTCCTTCCTAGATATGTAATACTTTCTGTTTCCAGCTCTGCGTGATCTCATTTTGTGGAAAATAAATTTCTTTTAAGTAGGAAGTCACATTTTGTGGACTTCCTGTTTTTCGATACTGAATCACTTCAGGCCTGGGTTTTCATAAGAGAGTTGGGTACCCGGAGGCGCACGGCGGACACCCAGGACGAGGCCGCCGCACCGCACTAGGTTTTCAGGTTTCCGAATGGCGGCCGCTTCCCGTTGGTGCCAGACGCGCGCCGCGAGCGCACCCCGTCGTCAGGTCCGTAAATCCTCGGAACAGGCCGCGGGGCAATCCGACCGAAAAGGCCCAGACTAGAGGTTTGAACGCGGGCGCCCGAAGACGATCAGAGATGTGATACCTCTGACTTTCAAATGTTGAAACAGATTAACAGAAATAAAAGTTGCATGTTTAAATATGTATGTGTAGCTGTACCATCATTGTTGTGGAAATTATTATTAATAATTATTGTGAGGAATAATTAACTGACATAATATTATTATTATTATTATTAAAAGGTGATCTGTGCAACTTTGTTATTCAGGAAGTTTGTATCAAACAAGTAGCTCTTCGTACTACTCGGTAGCCTTGAAGTAGCTCTCAGTTTAAAAAAGGTTGGTGACCCCTGGTCTAACGTCATGAGTCGCATCATTGTAACTATTAAATGTTCCATTAAAGTCCAACTGCACACACACCTTTTTGTTTGCTTGCTGTTAAGCCTTCCTCTGGCTAACCCCTGCATTATCATCCGTCCCCATTTAATACTTAACCAGCAGTGTTGGCACATATTGACTTTGTACTTTAGCTACTTCACTGGCAGCTGCCGCTCCAGTGGCGGTGACAGGAAGTGTAAGGGGGGGAGAGATTTAGTGAACCAGAAAGTCAAGTGGAGATGCAGAAGATGCCCGAAAGTGTGTGTGTGTGTGTGTGTGTGTGTGTGTGTGTGTGTGTGTGTGTGGGGAAGGAGAAGAGCAAGTGGGTGTGAGATTGAGTGATAATAGTATGTCGGGGTGCGCTGCCCGAGTCGGGATGAAATAAATAGGTAGTCCAGAAAATTGCTCGTGTCGTGGGAATTATTATTTTTCCCATTAGGAGTCAATGACGGTAACGTCGCACCAAGCGCTGCGGCACTTTCATTTTTCTGTCATCAGCAGAATTCTTTCTCCCCTTACTTGAGCAAATCCTCCCAAAAGCGCGATGAGTGGTCGGGGAGGGAGAAAAAGAGGAAGGAGGCCCGTCATCCCTTTTTTTGTTTCCACGTCTCCTGTTTTACTTTCCCTTACCTTCCCTCCCTTTGCTTGGGTTTCTTCTATACTTTCCCCTCCCTCCCTCCCTCCCTCCCTCCCTCCCCTCACAACGACATGGAAACACTGATGTGATTTAGCTGGAGATGGCTCCCCGCCACATTTCCATTTCCCTTTTCTTTTTTTTTTTCTTCTTCTTTTAATGACGACGCTGCGGTTGACATTTTGTTGACACGCTGCCACAGACTGAGAGGCAGTAGCTGATCTGGGCCAAGTGAAGAAAACCAGCAACACTTCTTCTCCACCTTATCTCAGACAAACACTTTTATGAGTGGGAATACCGGCATTCACCTGAACGCCAGCGCGGCGGCGCCTGATAGCAGACTCCCGTTGGAGGTTTTTGGAGAGTGCCACAGCCCCGTTGCTATCTCGCAGGAGAGGGTGTCGCACTCCCCGGGTTGCCATTGTTTGTTTTTCCGCGGTCCGATTAATAAATCATGAATATTTCATGATTGCCTGCTCTCTCTTAGATAAAGTCCCGAGCTCGTGACAGTGAATGTTAATGATGCGGAGGATAATAAGTTAGAATGCGGTGCATGTGTGAACAGATTTTCGGCGCATGACTTCTTATCTTATCAGGCCATCTATACACACACACACACACACACACACGCACCCCTACACCCCTGACTTTCATTATCTCTGTCTCTCTCCGTCCTCATTTTCACCGTCTCGTTTGTGCATTCCAGTTGCTTCAGCCTCGTTTCGGTTTTATCTGGGGCGTGTCACCGTGTCACCGTTACATGAGAGAAGTCGACTTGGCAGTATTTCTGCCGCGGCGCCCGTCTGGCGCTGCGTCTGTTTCTTCCATAACTGGTGCTTCTCAGCAGACAACAGTCTCTGGTGATAAACTTGAGTTAAGGAGTTACCATCTTTTTTTATTGGGGCCGCAGCTAACAAGGATCATTTCCTCTTT